AGGAATAGTGCTCTAAGTATCAGATAAAAGCAAGCATAGGGCCATATTCGGCCCGAGGCCACAGTTTGGAGACCACTGCTCTAGGCAATCATCCCTCTTCTCCTTAAATGAAATTGTTTTTTTGTTTTAACGTGCACTATGTGCCCTTTTTCTCTTGGGATATGCACGTTGCACAGGAGGCAATGGGGTCAATTCACTAAAAGTTACCGCATGTGACAACACGGTCACGTGACTCATTTGCATTAGTATCACATGCGATAACAAAATGTCCAATTCACAAGAAAAAAAACCCAAAAAACGATTCTGTGGTATTTAACGTAAAATTGAAAATGTGGCAGTATATACCGCAAAAAAAAAAACCTGCGGTATACCTGTTAAGTCCAATTCACAAATAGAACAGAAAGTAAAAAAAGATGCGATATTAATTACCAAGGTTTTGCTGGCAGTATCACATGCAATATTTTTTCACATGCAGCAACCTCTATGGGTGTGGTATGGATATTAAGGGGAACACTATGCCAAAATGTAAAGAAAAACAGCGCGGGGTCCCCCATAAATTCATACCAGACCCAAAATCCCTTAGGATTGTGAGGGGACCCACAAGCCTTTTTTTTTTTTTTTTTTCATTTTGGTATGGGGTTCCCCCAAAATCCATACCAGACCCAAAGGGCCAGGTATGGATGGGGGAGGGCACACTGTTTTTTTCAACAATTGTAATTGCTGGCATGTTTTGTTTACATTCAGTAGTTAGTGGGACACCCGCTGACAGCTGAAGAGTCATTCGTTGTTATGGATGCGGCAGCTGGCTTCCTTAACCAGCTACCTGTGATAAACTACCGCATGAAAACATGTGGTAATTACCACAATAACGATATTTTACCACATTAGTTATTTACCGCAAAATTCTTAGTGAATTGCACATTTGCAAAAAAGTTTTTTTTTCAGTTGTTATTTAACTCTTAGTGACTTGACCCCCTAGTCCCTCCATTCAGTAAAGGAGGAGGGGGTGGGGATAGCGGCATGTCAGCAGTAGGCCCGTGGGACGAACCCAGAATAGTCTGATGATGACATCACAACAAAACATGGTGGCGCAGAACCAAGAACAACCCCTGGTGGAAAAAAAAAAATGGGGGGTGGAGTTTGGCTGAAGATGTTTCACTTTCCATCACAGAGACAACAGGAAGAAAGACTAGACTCTCCACTGGAAAATAATCCCTTAGTTTATGTTTTGGTGACAACTGTCAAATATTGGATTTCCCATCGTTTCCTGTCCCAGAGGCAATGGACACCAGGACAAACAGAGGGGCTGAATCACCATAGCAAGGACAGATAGACCGAAGTAAAAACCTTGGCAGAGGTTGTAACCCATCCTCACTCTTGGAAATTATCAAAAATGTTTGAGCTTTAGAAATACTTTCACAGCTTAATCCTCCAAGAATCTTCTAACAAGCTGAAAAATCTCTGTATCATGAGGCAACAATTGTTCCCTTTTTAAGGAGAAAAGGAAAAAGAAATTCCACCACATGTACACCACATGATGTAGCTGTCCAAGTCGACGAAAACAGAAAAAAAGAGTGGGTTCCGGAAATTCAAGGGATGATAGGCCAGTGTCTCATGCGCCGTCATTTTTAGAGTATCCTGTATCCTACAGACAATGGAGAACCAGCGCAGAAGTTCCTAAATCCTAATTCTCCTCTATTCCAACCAATCTCTGGATGAGGGCTGAACACAAGGGTTTCTCTCCCCCTTCCAGAGACATAACGTGAAGCTGCAGTGCAGAGCCGTCTCCATTTAGAGGAAGTTGGGACTGTAAATAGCTGATTGGTTACGGATTGAGTGTCAGACCTCCAGATTAGCAAGTCACGGTCTCTTGGACATCGATTGGAAGTATGTGCCAGGCCACAGCCGGGTCCTGATTAAACTGCATCGGAATTCAACCCTGTAACCCTTTCACCACAGCCGGACCTCCAAGAGAGAGAATGATCTTCCTTGAGGCTTTCCCATCAAGGAAACAATGACAAACCCCCTGATTAAAGACTTTGCAGTGCAAGGGTAAACTCACTCCCTGTGACCAATACAAAACAGAATTAGACATAATCAGCTTCTGTAGAACCGTACCTCCCAACTTCCTCAGATGGGAAGGATGGACGGTTTTTTTTTTTTAGAAAAACAAACTTCTTGGCTTCTTCTTGGACATACTTCTGTCACAACAGAAACATAAAAGAGAAAACTTCATGCATATACATATACCTACTACTCACAAAAACATTAATATTAAAAAAAGAACAGGCAGTATGATGTCAATGCACAAAAGAGGAACCAACCCCCAGATCATAGGTAACTTTAATAAACAATATAACATGAACCTGTGCTTAGTCATTGCCTAGCAAACAACCAAGTTCACTTAAAGTCACACCCCATCCTGTTGCTTACAACATCTCCCCTTCACTCCTCCTGTAATCCATTTAATGGCCAAAATGAAGAGAAGCCTTGCATGACCATCTGGTCACAGCTTACACAAGCCTGTTCCTGTCCCTGCTGAACCGGCCAAGATTCGAACCATCTATGGCTGGCTTAACTCTCAGCCAACATGGCCCATGGAGTGTCAGCTCTATAGCTGGGTTCCTGCTTACGTTCTTAAAAGTTTCAAATACTACGAACACCAGAGCTCAACTGTAAAAATCAAAATTTCTGACTAATGAAAATTCAGGGTTAAGATGGTGACATAAAAGCTAACCAGTTTTTGCTAAGCTAACCACTGGCTAAAGGGTAACTCCACTTTCATAGGGGAAAAAAAATCAGCACTTGAAAAAAAGAAAAAAAAAATATATATATATATTTATTATTATACAGTATTTATATAGCGCTAAAAGGTTTGCTCAGCGCTGTACATTATAGTCGGAGACAGACAATACAGTAACAAAACAATACACGAGGGGTTCGAGGGCCCTGCTCTTTCGAGCTTACAATCTATATATATATATATATATATACAGTGGGGATCGAAAGTTTGGGCACCCCAGCTAAAAATTTGTATTAATGTGCATAAAGAAGCCAAGGAAAGATGGAAAAATCTCCAAAAGGCATCAAATTACAGATTAGACATTCTTATAATATGTCAACAAAAGTTAGATTTTATTTCCATCATTTACACTTTCAAAATAACAGAAAACAAAAAAAATGGCGTCTGCAAAAGTTTGGGCACCCTGCAGAATTTATAGCAAGCACTGCCCCCTTTGCAAAGCTGAGACCTGCCAGTGTCATGGATTGTTCTCAATCATCGTCTGGGAAGACCAGGTTATGTCAATTTCAAAGGTTTTAAATGCCCAGACTCATCTGACCTTGCCCCAACAATCAGCACCATGGATTCTTCTAAGCAGTTGTCTAGAAAACTGAAACTGAAAATAGTTGATGCTCACAAAGCTGGAGAAGGCTATAAGAAGATAGCAAAGCGTTTTCAGATGTCAATATCCTCTGTTCGGAATGTAATTAAGAAATGGCAGTCATCAGGAACAGTGGAAGTTAAAGCAACATCTGGAACACCAAGAAAAATATCAGACAGAACAGCTCGCAGGATTGTGAGAAAAACAATTCAAAACCCACATTTGACTGCACGATCCCTCCAGAAAGATCTGGCAGACACTGGAGTTGTGGTACACTATTCCACTATAAAGAGATACTTATACAAATATGGTCTTCATGGAAGAGTCATCAGAAGAAAACCTCTTCTACGTCCTCACCACAAAAATCATTGTTTGAACTTTGCAAATGAACATATAGACAAGCCTGATGCATTTTGGAAACAAGTTCTGTGGACCGATGAGGTTAAAATTGAACTTTTTGGCCGGAATGAGCAAAGGTACGTTTGGAGAAGAAGGGGCACAGAATTTAATGAAAAGAACCTCTGTCCAACTGTTAAGCATGGGGTTGGATCATGCATGCTTTGGGGTTGTGTTGCAGCCAGTGGCACAGGGAACATCTCACGAGTAGAAGGAAAAATGGATTCAATAAAATTTCAGCAAATTTTGGATGGTAACTTGATGCCATCTGTGAAAAAAGAGAGGATGGCTTCTACAAATGGATAATGATCCCAAACACACCTCGAAATCCACGGGGGATTACATCAAGAGGCGTAAACTGAAGGTTTTGCCATGGCCTTCACAATCTTCTGACCTCAACATAATTGAAAATCTATGGATAGACCTTAAAAGAGCAGTGCGTGACAGACAGCCCAGAAATCTCAAAGAACTGGAAGACTTTTTTAAGGAAGAATGGGCAAAGATACCTCAAACAAGAATTGAAAGACTCTTGGCTGGCTATAAAAAGCATTTACAAGCTGTGATACTTGCCAAAGGGGGCAGTACAAGATATTAACTCTGCAGGGTGCCCAAACTTTTGCAGACGCCATTTTTTTGTTTTCTGTTATTTTGAAAGTGTAAATGATGGAAATAAAATCTAACTTTTGTTGACATATTATAAGAATGTCTAATCTGTAATTTGATGCCTTTTGGTGATTTTTCCATCTTTCCTTGGCTTCTTTATGCACATTAATACAAATTTTTAGCTGGGGTGCCCAAACTTTCGATCCCCACTGTATATATATATATATATATATATATATATATATATATATAGACAGAGTACAGGAGATGACTAGAGACTGCGGACAGAGTACAGGAGATGACCAGAGACTGCAGACACAGTACAGGAGATGACCAGAGACTGCAGACATGGTACAGGAGATGACCAGAGACTGCAGACACAGTACAGGAGATGACCAGAGACTGCGGACACAGTACAGGAGATGACCAGAGACTGCGGAAAGAGTACAGGAGATGACCAGAGACTGCGGACAGAGTACAGGAGATGACCAGAGACTGCGGACAGAGTACAGGAGATGACCAGAGACTGCGGACAGAGTACAGGAGATGACCAGAGACTGCGGACAGAGTACAGGAGATGACCAGAGACTGCGGACAGAGTACAGGAGATGACCAGAGACTGCGGACAGAGTACAGGAGATGACCAGAGACTGCGGACAGAGTACAGGAGATGACCAGAGACTGCGGACAGAGTACAGGAGATGACCAGAGACTGCAAACATAGTACAGGAGATGACCAGAGACTGTGGACATACTAAAGATGACCAGAGACTGCGGACATACTACAGATGACCAGACACCGCAGACCTTTGGGGAGCAGGGGGGGTGGGTACCCAAATTTGACAGGTACCCACTCCCACTTCCGAGGAGTTGTCCTCTCTGTAGTCTTGTGGGACACGTGACAGGTCCCAGAAGACTAAAAGGCCATTCACAAAGCACAGCACTTCTCGAGCATGCGCAGTGGGCACCCGGCTGTGAAGCCGCAAGCGGTCACAGCTGGGTGCCCATACTAAAGATGCCAGGGAGAGAAGACAGCCGGTGAAAGCAGGACACCGCTGGACCGAGGTGCAGGTTCTTCTGCACAGCAGAGCCAAGCGGCCGGCCCGATATTCTAACATGGCGGTGGTGACGGGTGAGAGGGGGAATACCAGACCGGCTGCTCCATATTCGCTCCATAAGATGCACAGACATTTTCCCACATTTTTTTGAGGGAAAAAAGTGCATCTTATGGAGCAAAAAATCTGCAGCACTGTAAAATGCAATATGACAACAGCAGATGGGGTATGGAACACCCCCCCAGAAATGTAATTCCCTGCTTATCTGTTAGCCTCCTGATTTTCCCAGAAGTCTGCACTAAGATAAAAGTCAGATTTTGGGAATCATCTGCAACAAAAATGTCATTTTTGGTGAGATACTCCCAAAGGGAAATCACATCTAAAAGGGATGCAGATCCTGCCACTTTCCTTATTAGAACCCTGCAGCAGCTGATTGAGAATAATAAAAATCACTCCCATTTACATTCACTCCGCACATGGACACAGACAAACAGCTACTTTATCAGAATAACAAAAGGTAGGAATCTGCAACAAAGTTTGTTGAAAACCCTGCAGCGTACATTGATCACATTGATCATGTTCTTTTCTCAACAAAAGTGGAGTTACTCTTTAACCATGACCGTTTCTCAGTAAAAGATTTTGAAGCTCACAGATGAGCTTGGCATCAGTTGCATCAGACACAAAAATGGGATTCTAGACTGGATAAGGGTTTACTGCCATGGGTATACATACAAGGGCAGAAAACAAGAGTACAGAGAAACAGACTGGCACACGCACATATGTTCCCATGAAGTTGGAGCGAGCAAATAGAAAAAGTGGACGTATTTGCATAATTTTGTGCTGGTTAAATTCCTACAAATAAAGAGCAGGAGGAACAGACAGAGCTGGGGAGCTGGGCAAACTGAAACCATCTGTACAAATTGTTAAAGCCAAACAGCTTCCGGCAGCTTGCAATCCCTCTCTGCCACCCCTCCCCTCTGGAAAACAACCCTATAACTTAACCCTCTTGTCACTATTTGGTCGGCCACACATGGCCAATAAAGTTGAGCTATGTGACACAGTTTAGATCAGCTATGTATTTAATAAAAATGAAATGCATTTGAAAACAGAACTAGCTGACTATATATGAACTTTTTTTTTTAAATCCCAAAGGATTTCTACCGCACAGCCAGGAAGGGGGCTTCACTATTGCTTGCTTCTGCTTTGCAACTTTCTTTGCCACCTTTCTACTTCTGGCCTGCTCCATGGACGAGGAGCCAAGGTGACCTACTCTACTAATGAGCGGACAGGTGACACATGAAGCTGCAAAGCCATACCAGCAAACAACATGCTGACAACATGTGGTCGTAGGGAAATGAGAATCACAAGACTTTCCCAACAGAATGACTTTGGCAGGTAACAGTTCCCACATTTGTGTTCCAATTGTATATTTAGGTTGTTTTTTTTCCTAAAGTTGCATTTTACCTTCAGAATGATAAAAAGCTCTTCTGACCTCCAAAAATCTCTGGAAACTGCTGGAAAATCTCTGCAGCCAGTTGCCAATCATAAACTAACAAACGGACGATGGGGGAAGAGCCAGCCAAATCTTCTTCTAAGCACGTACTGTTTGTCCAAGTAGAAGATGTCTTAATATTGGGAAAATTGATAATTGCTTACTGTAACAACCGCTGTCTGGTCTGGGAAAAACAGACTGCTCAAATTCCAGCTTAAAAGACCTCCACTGTATAGAATTCATATTTGTTCACCATATTAAGGGATAGCGTGTCAAACCAGCTCTCTAGATTAGAACTTAAAAGCATGAAAGTTTCCCATCTGTTTGCTGACTAGGAACAGGTCACTTCTCCTTTCATGGAATAGCTGCAATTCAGTTATTAGGAAAACAACATATTTGATACAATTTGTATTGTGACCCTCAAAAACAGTGGTCTCCAAACTGTGACTTGGGGACCAGATGTGGCCCTCTGCTTACCTTTATCCAGCCCTTGGGGCACCATTCAATCCACTGACTCGAACAACAAGGCATTATTCTTCCCATTGATCCCAATGATGGGGCACTATTTCTCCCACTGACACCAATGATGGGGCACTATTCCTACCACTGACACCAATGACGGGGCACTATTCCACTGACACCAATGATCGGGCACTATTCCATCACTGATACCAACAACTGGGCACTATCCCTTCCACTGATACCAACAATAGCATTTTTTTTTTCTTCTTTTCCTTGTCTTCCTTCAATCTGCTAATTAAGGGGAGGGGGTTAATTGGTCACAGGTGATTCAGGTTCTATATAAAACTTGCTGTAGAGCTCACTCTGATCTTGCCTGTATTTTGCTTGCCGGACCTTTGACTAAGTGGACATTTGATAAGTGGAGTTAAAAAACCAGGGTGGAAAACAGGAGATTATAACAGGAGTCTACTAACCTGTAAGTGACAACTGATATTTCATGTTTATATTGTAACTGGGATAATGTGTGCTAGCAGGGTGGAAGGTTTTGTGCAGTGCACAGTGTGCTGCATGTATGCAGCAATGGAGCATTAGCTCCAAGATGGATACCGCTGCGACAGATGTGAGCAGCTTGCCCTACTGGAAACTCGCGTTAGAGATCTGGAGGAGCAAGTTGTAACACTGAGCAGAACGTCAACCTTGAAAGGGGTCTTCTGCTCTCTGAGTAGGTAGCTAACGGGACTGATGTGGAGGGGCTAATCAGGATTATCAGGTATGAAGATGGGTTACTGTAATGAGAGGGAGTGGTAGGGGCTCACAGAAAAGGAAAGCCGGCCCTGGGTTTGTGCACCCAAAAAGATTTGCCAAGTTGGGTGAAGATGTGGGGGTGGCAAGCTCAGGGGTGGCAGCCCTGGATGTCACTGCTATCTCTAACAGCCGGGAGAGCAGACCATCTGGGAGGGGTGGTAAGGGTAGTGCAGGAAGGCCTAGACAGCTGGTGGTAGTAGGGGATTCTATAATCAGAAGGACTGATTGAATAATTTGTCGCCAGGGTCGCCTCAACCGAATGGTTTGCCTGGTGCCAGGGTTCGGCCTATGGTGGACCGGGTTGATAAATTACTGGGAGGGGTTGGGCATGACCCAGCTGTCTTGGTTCATGTTGGAACCAATGATAGAATACATTGAAGGTGGAGGCTCCTTAAGAATCAATTTAAAGAACTAGGTTGCAAGTTGAAGGGAAGGACCGCCAAGGTAATATTCTCTGAAATATTACCTGTTCCATGTGCAAATCAGGAGACAGGAGGTGATTAGTGAACTCAATGCATGGCTGAAAACCTGGTGTAAGAGGGAAGGATTTGGGTTTCTAGAGCACTGGGCTGACTTTTCATTGGGGTGCAACCTATATGCTAGGGATGGTCTGCACCTAAATGGATGGGGGTCTGCTGTGCTAGAGGAGAGGTTTATGGGAAGGTTGGAGGAGTATTTAAACTAGGATTGACGGGGGAGGGAGAACTAGATTATATCCCAGCCACAGCACCACCTGCCTGGAGTTTGCATGTTCTCCCTGTGTCTGCGTGGGTTTCCTCCGGGTACTTTGGTTTCCTCCCACACTCCAAAGACATGCTGGTAGGTTAATTGGCTCCTGTCTAAATTGTCCCTAGTATGTGTATGTATGAATGTAAGTTAGGGACCTTAGATTGTACACCCCTTGAGGGTTAGGGACTGATGTGAATGTATAACATATATGTAAAGCGCTGCGTAAATTGACAGCGCTATATAAGTACCTGAAATAAATAAATAACGGGGTAGACAGATCAGACAAGGGTCAGTACTTATTGGTGGGTGGAATGGGGAAAGATGGTAGGGAGGCTATGGCAGATGAAAAGAAGGTTCCCATGTTACAAAGAACCAGTGGAATTGGTACCATTTGTATGAAAATAAAAAATATGCAAAATACGTGTGAACAAGGTGTCAATGAATTAAAGTGTTTGTTCACCAATGCCAGAAGTCTGCCAAGCAAAATTGGCGAGTTGGAAGCTTTGGTGCATGAAGAGAACTATGATTAAATTGGTATTGCTGAATCTTGGCTTCATTCTTCACATGACTGTGCCATTAATATTCCTGGCTATGTTCTCTTTCGGAGAGACAGGTTGAATAGGAAAGGTGGTGGTGTCTGTCTCTATGTGAGAAGTGATCTCAGAGTGAGTGTGAAAGAGGACCTAGTTGATGGAGAGTGTGATGAGTCTGAAGTATTATGGATGTAACTGCACATGGGGGTGCGCACTACACAGGTAATCATTAGAGTTTGTTATAGGCCTCCCAGTGTTAATGAGGAGGTAGAAACTCAGCTCCTTGCACAGATCGAGGGCTGGGACAGTGATAATAATGGGGGATTTTAAGTACCCGGAAATTGACTGGAGTAATGGTACTGCAGGAATAGTTAAAGGGCAAAAAACTTTAAACCTACTACAGGACAATTTTATGGTACAGTTTATAGAGGCCCCAACTAGGAATGATGCTCTGCTGGAACTGGTAATCTCAAACCATGCAGAGCTTATTACGAATGTTAAAACATCTGGGTAGCTGTGACCATAACATGATTTCATTTATTGTTAGCTGTAAACAGGGCGCACATACGGGAAAAATAAAAATGCTCAATTGCAAGAGAGCTAATTTTCCAAGACTGAGAGCTGCTCTCCAAGACTTAGAATGGGAGAGAATATTGGCATTGATGAACACAACACAGAAATGTGAGTTCTTAAAAAAGACTGTGTGTGAACACACTGCAAAATATATTCCCATGGGCAACAAGTTTAAAAGGCTAAAAATCAAACCTATGCGGCTTATGGTCAAAGTTAAAAAAAAAAAAAACTATAAATAATAAGAAAAGAGTTTTTATTAAATATAAAAATGAAGCTTGTAGCTCTGAGGAAG